TAATAGAAAATCAAAATCATCCTGTGTTAAGCCCTCCATTTCTAATACAATAGCTCTAATCTTGCTTAAGTCAGTTTTCAGGCCTCTGGACTTGCTGTATGTTTGCTGTGCTTTCAACTGCTTGTCTTGCCCTCCCAGGCGCCGGCTTGTGGTGGCCGCGGACCGCAGACGCTGCCGCCTCCGTCCCGGCCGCCGCGCCCCACCCGGGGTCCCGGCTGGACTTCCAGTGCGGGGCGTGCGGCCGCGGCTACATGCACAAGAAGACGCTGCTGCGGCACCAGCGGCTCGAGTGCGGCAAGGAGCCCTCGCTGCCCTGCCCGTTCTGCCCGCACCGGACCAAGTACCGCAGCAGCCTGCTCACGCACATGACCAACAGGCACGGCGACCTCATGAACAACATGACCTGCACGCCCGCGCCCGGCCCGAGCTGACCGCCGCTCAGCACCGACAATAATTTGTACCCTTGTTTTAAAATAAATGCAATTGTTACCAGAGCGTTTGGCGCCTTCTCTTGATTATTTTTGCGAGGCCGTCGTTGGCCGCCGGTTCCACCGCAACTGTGTTCTCTCCCTTGTCTGTCATGTCTTCGACGCTGGTATAACCGTTGTGACTTTTTCCAGGTGGCTGGTACTTACACCCCAACTCGTGCCCGACGTGCGGCAAGGTCTACAAGCTGCAGACGAGTCTGAAGCGACACATTGCCGTCGAGTGCGGCAAGGCGCCGGCCATCAGCTGCTCGCAGTGCGACTACCGCTCCCCGCACCGCCAGAACGTCCACCGCCACTTCCTGCGCAAGCACAGCAAGGCCCAGGGCGTCTACCGGCGCTAGGCCCGCCTCTAGCCCCGGCCCCGCCTGCGGGCCGCCACTAGCCGCGCCGGTGAGTTGCTCTCCTTCCGTTGCGCGGCGCGGGTGAAGCGCCCGACCATCGCGGGGTAGGCAGTCCCGTGACGCAGCCGTGGTGGGCGGGCTGGCCCAGCCCGGGGACTGCAGGGGCTAGGGCGCGGCGCGGCAGGCGGCCGGCACCAGTAGTAGCTCCTCCGTGCATGCCGTGGCAGCCTGTGGGGTAGGGCCCACCGGAGACGGACAGTCGCGCCCCGTGCTGACGCCGCTAACGCTCCTCTTGTTGTCCCGCAGGTTCGCTGGTCAGCCTGCTGGGCGATCCCCTGGAGCCGCAGCTCAAGGAGCACGCCTGCGCACGCTGCGGCAAGGCGTACCGCTGGAAGCGCAACCTGTCGCGGCACCTCCGCGTCGAGTGCGGCAAGCCGCCGGCCTTCTCCTGCCCGTTCTGTTCCTACCGCTCGGCACACAAGACGCACGTGAACCGTCATGTGGCGTGCAAGCACTCCGAGCACCCGAGCTGAAATAAATGACTAGTGAAGCCAGCCTGTTGCGTCTGTCCACCCCGCGCCCAGCCACGCCGAAACACACACAACACAACACAACACAACACGCCCGATGACTTCTCGCCCGCACTGATTGCTCGCCTGTCTCTAATTTATTTTGCAGAGAAGCCCTGGCCGTGGACGTGGGACTCCTCGCGGTTCCTGCCCGGCTCCGCTGCCGGCCCGCAGCCCAGTAACTTCACTACCGTCCTGCAGCCCAGCAACTTCACTGCCAGCCTGCAGCCCAGCAACTTCACTGCCGGCCTGCAGCCCAGCAACTTCACTGCCAGCCTGCAGCCCAGCAACTTCACTGCCGGCCTGCAGCCCAGCAACTTCACTGCCGGCCTGCAGCCCAGCAACTTCACTGCCGGCCCGCGCATTCGGCCGCGCTGTGGGGCCGACCTGCTCGACTCCGGCCCGGCCGAGGGCCCAGCAGACAGCTCCGTCTTCAGGTGCCCGACCTGCGGCAAGGGCTACTCTTACATGGGCCGGCTGGAGTCGCACATGCGGGAGTGCGACGGGAGGGGCAAGAGGACGGGCAGGGAGTTGTCGTGCCCGGTCTGCTGCAAGCTGTTCGTGCGCAGGAGCAACATGCAGATCCACATGGCGCTATCGCACCGGTAGAGGCGCCGCCCGCCCCTCCCCCGCCTCTCTCCCGCTCACTTGTGTCCCTCCCGCTCGATCCACGAGACACAGGTGAACCGTCACGCCGCGTGCAGGCACGCGTGCGGGCCCTCCGACCACGCTAGCTGATTGTAAACCAGTGCGGCCAGCATGTACGTGTGTTGCCTCCGTCTTCCCCGCCGCCCCCCGCAAATCGCACCAGAGTTCTCCCCGCACTAAACGCACGCTTCTTGTTTTGCAGTGAAGCCCTGGGCGTGGAGCTCCCAGCTGCCCCTGCCCGGCCCCGGCCCGCTGCCCGTCCTGCCCGCCGCCGGCCTGCTCGGCCCCGCCGTGCTGGGCCCCGGCCCTGGCCCTGGCCCTGGGTCGCTGTCCCCCAGCTCCGTCTTCACGTGCCCAAACTGTGGCAAGGGCTACTCGTACAAGGGCAACCTCAACCGGCACATCCGCGTGGAGTGCGGCAAAGAGCCGCAGCTGTCGTGCCCGGTCTGCTTCAAGATGTTCAAGCACAAGAGCAACATGGAGATGCACATCGAGCGCGTTCACACTAACCACAAATACGGCGAGGGGTCCTCGGCCCCCCTGTAGCGCGCGCCCCAGACTGCCGGGATTGTGTTTGGACTGCCGCAATACTTAGATAGCTGCGATAGACGAGTATACGCGCCCCACGATTTTGGAAGACTTCATAAGATTTCCTGCAGATCGTCATTAGAGTGCTGCGGGTGGTGTGTACCTCAGATCAGCCTAGTTGAAAACACCCTCGCACAAATAGCCGTGTGTGACCTGATTTCCACTTTTGTTTCAATAAAGCCTACCTGAACAAGACACGCGCCTCCCGAGTGTTTTCTTTGTTTTTAAAATTCGCCAATCCACCCGCCGACGCCGCGGACGCATTCTCTGCCGACTCTAACCCTCTGCCTTCTTGTCCTCCAGGTGACATGGCCTTGCTGACGCCACGCGCCCCCCGCGGCTTGGGGCCCTTCCGGTGCTCTCAGTGCGACAAGGCCTACAATTCCAAGGGCAGCCTGCAGCGCCACGTGAAGATCGAGTGCGGCAAGGAGCCCGGCGTGCCCTGTCCGTACTGCGACACCATGTTCAAACATAAGAGCTCCGTCATCACGCACATCGTGCGAAAGCACCCGTTCTGAGGGAGGCAAGCGGGGAGGTGGATGTGTTGGCTGTGTGACTGACTGTAGTTCAAAACATTTTTTAAAAATAAGATTGGACCATGCTGTGAGGTTATACACTAAAAAACACAGGAGTGTGGAATACTACCAAAGTTGTGTACACACAGTGGTCTTACAGTATTGTGGAATAACGGTACAATTTATTTGCACGTATTGTGCTATTCTCTAATCATATAATTTATGGAGGATATGGCAGTGTTGTTGCTTAATGTGATGTTTCCTCCTTCAATCTATATATTTTTAAACTACGTGTGTTATGCGTTATGTAATAAATTCTGTATTTTAACTAGTCTACTTTTATTTTATTTTCTGCCTCATTCAGCTTGACGTCGACCCCGACCGCGCTGTGCGAAGCGCCGACCCTGCTCTGATGACTCTGTTCTGTTGCAGGCTGCAGCCTGCCGGGCGCCTACGAGTGCCAAATGTGCGGCAAGATCTACAAGTGGAAGCACCACATGCTGGCGCACGTGCGCGAGGACTGTGCGCGGAGCGTCCGTTACGAGTGCCACTTGTGCCCCTACTCCACCAAGCGCGCCCGCAACCTGCCCCCGCACGTCCTGCGCATGCACGGCCCCGAGGCGGCCAGCTCCATGGTCAGGCCCCGGCCCAAGATCGCTGTGCCCCCGGAGCTGCTGCTCACGAACAGAGAGAATAGTTTTTGAATAAACGAGAGTGCACGCTAGTGAGCCGTGTGAGTCTCTGTTCCACCTCGCCCTCCGACACCTGCCCAGCCCGGCCGGGCTCACCACCGGGGCGACCAGCAGTGAGTATGTGATCGTGTTCTAACGCAGTTTTGTGTTGTGTGCGCAGGCCCCGCCAGCCAGTGGTCGCTGGCGCAGCTCGCGCAGCTACAGGGCCACGGTGCCTTCCAACAGAACAGCCGCCTGCCGGGCAGCTACCCGTGCCCGCAGTGCGGCAAGGTGTACCGCTGGAAGTGGAACCTGGTGGCGCACCTGCGGGAGGACTGTGGCCGCGTGGCCCAGTACCGCTGCGACCTGTGCGAGTACACCTCCAAGCGGCAGCGCAACCTGGCGCTGCACATCCTGCGCGTGCACAAGAAGCCCCGCGGGCGGCTGGCGGCGGCGCGCGCCCGGCCGTCGCAGCCGCGGGGTGCCGAGGACGCCGACAAGCTCGGCCTGGACGCCGAGTTCTTCTTCTCGCACTCTGAGTCCTCCATGTAGGCGAGGTCAGAGGGAGCGAGTCCCGTCCGTGTCTTACTCATGTTTAATATTGATAGCACAACTAAATCGGTCCGAAATACAAACTGTTTTGACTTTTTATCAAATAATCAGGCTATTTCTACTGCCCCCTGTGTCGCCTTGTCGTTTCTTTCCCTAGTTTTGCCTGTAGCTAAGATTGTAATTTGCCTGTACATTGTTAGCAATGCGAGTCGTAGCTTGTTGGTGACGGCGCGGTGTGATTTGATTTAGTTGGCGCCTCTGTCCCATGAAGTAGTGCCTGCGGGTCGTGGCGCCCCGCTCTAGGCCGCGCCCTAGGCCCCCACCCGCTCCAACCGCGCGCTAACGCCCCCTCTTCCTCTGTGTCGCAGTGCTGGACGAGATCGGCGGGTCGCAGAGCATGCGCGCCGTGTACCGCTGCCGGCAGTGCGGCAAGACGTACTGCTGGAAGAAGACGCTGCAGCGCCACATGAAGCTGGAGTGCGGCGGCAAGGAGCCGCAGTTCCCCTGCCCCGTCTGCCAGTACCGCTTCAAGTACAAGAGCCACCGCCTGCGCCACATGACCAAGGTGCACCACGTGACACACGACGAGGCGCAGGCCGTCATCGACAACATGAAGAGCGAGTACGGCGACATGGACATAGAGGGCGTCGACATTGACGTGGACGTGGACGTGGACGTTGACCCGGAGGACTACGTGATGGGGTCGCTGCCCCCGATGGCCCCGCCGCAGGCGACGCCCGCCGCGCCGCCGCCGCGGAGGGCCCGGCGCTCCAGCGTGGCCGTGGCGGCGCGCGAGGACGAGGGCTGAGGAGGAGGGCGGGCAGTGCGAGGGGGGAGAGGCTGGCAGCCGGGCTGGCAGCTGGTGCGCGAGGAGGCGCCCCCAAACTGGCTCTCCTGGCTCGTGCCCTGCGCGCCCTGCGCCGGCCAAGGGGTGACGGCATCCAGGCGCGAGCTGCTCTTCGACGAGTTGTGAGTGCGGGCCCTGGGCGGCGGCGCGTGGCGGTGCTGGCGGCGCGACTCAGCGGGCTGGGTCAGAATGTACAGTTTCATTTAGTTTTAAAAGTCCGCCCCTGCTTGACGGTCGAGGGCCGTGGATCCGTCGCCCAGGGCCAAACGCATATAACACACTCCCCCCAGTGCCACTCTCTTCCCCTTCTGCCGTACCCCCTGAGGCTCTCCCCGCGTCGTCAGGCTGGTCTAGGGGGCGACTGTTCCTGGACGTGGACCAAACGTACTTTACCCTGATAAGGTGTTATCGCTTGCACTGCCCGCACCGCCCTGCCTGGTGCAGGCGGAGTACGTACATAATGGACACTTCATACAAGTGGGGTGAATCCGGAGGAAGGGATCTTGTGGCCTTTTATTTGCTTGTGTTGGGTAATGCAGTATGCTCCCAATCCGTGGCAATTGCACGTTTTTAAAAAATAA